TATATTACTAATTATGTTCTCATTATTATTTGCATCCCAGGTAGGTTTTTTGTACATACGTTATGCAATATGCATTTGATCAATGAGAATAATGCAATGAAGAAGGATTACAAAGTTACACAATTAAAACATTAAAACCTCATAAGAAATTTAATCAAAATTACATTATTAAAAATAATTTTTGAGTTTTACATGAAATGTAATCGCACTTACATTTTTCTTTTACAATATTTATTTTTAATGTAGAGAGAATCGTAGAAATTAATAATTTATACAGAATATGATCTCATCACCACAAAAACTTTAATCAGCTTAATTAGTTGACAATACGACATCCCTATAACCCTTAATAAAGTTGGCTATTTATGGAGAAAAAGTTGTTTGATTTGGTCCGAATGAAGAAGCAATCATATGGTTGTGTGAGTGCTTTCTTTTATACCGACTAGTGTGGGCTTGCCTCAAATGTACCTTGTTGTCCTTTGTGCAACTTATGATTGTGGTGTCAAAACAATGGTCTTGTAGCATAATATAAGACCTCCAAAGTTCCCTCGTTCTCGTTTCTTTTGGTGCATTGTTGTATTATTGGTTATAAAAGTAGAATAAAAGTCACTAATGGCATGTCTTGGATTTATTGAGTTTCTAAGAAAAATAAAATTGAGAGTGAGGGATGATAATTCAAATATTTATACCTTTCCTTCCGATTTTAAGAGATTTTTGGACTCTCTAAATTCCCAAAAAAAAAAAAAAAAAAAAAAAAAAAAAAAAAAAAATTAATGCTAAAAATTTGACGCGATAGTTTGAACGTTTGCACTTTTTACAAATTTAATTTGTTCATTAAATTGGATAGAGAATGCGAAAATTTGACGGGAGTGAAAGAGAATGCAAAATTGGATATTTAAGTAATTTTCTTATTTAATTAACCATGGTTAGCTTTTTAGTGAAAACTAACCTAATGAGACTATTCATTAATATCATTGGTGGGAATAAACAACTTTTATATGTGGCTGGTCGCACTGTGTGGCCAACCATCATAAGGGTTACTTTGTTCGTGTTATAGGGTTTACTCGTTTAGTATTACAGGAGTTACTTCATCAGTGTTATAAGGGTTACTTTATTCTTTTACAAGCACAAAACGCGCTGGATTGTAATCAGGGTTAATCTGTGAATTAAAAAAAAAAAAAAAATTCATTTCAAAATTTCAAGGTAGCAAAAGAATATTCTAATTTTTTATTTTTTTTATTTTTTTATTTATTTTTTTTTTTAATGTGAAACATAAAATTGAAATGTTAGCCAGACTCGGTCCATAGTATACTAATTGCACAAAGAATAACATTTTTTCACTTACAAATGTTGGGCGGATTTGGCCCAGATTTAGGTCCAAATGAAAAGCATTGGCCCAATCGCTTTTTTTGGTTGTAAGAAATTTTTGTATTAGCAGGTCATACACTCATTAGGTTATTAGGTAGTCATTTTCAAATTGTAAGTTCTAAGTTTTTTTTCGTGATCGCTTTCCTTATAAATTGCTTAAACACAAAATAATTCCCTCTTTGTATTGTTAAACTTTTTCCCAAAATATTGGCCACGTAGGCTCAGATTTAAAAAATTTTAGTCAGCAAAATTGCTAACGAAAATAGCGGTTTTATTATAAAACCGCAATTGTCAATTGCGGCTTAACCTTCAAAACAAAGCATTATTGTAATTTATGTGGCCAAGAAGCCCAAACAACATGTAAAAGAACCGCAATTGGCATTTGCGGTTAATATACCAAAGTCAATTTCAATTGGTTAAAGTGCAAATATGCTAAAGTAATGTCCACTTAGTTCACAATAGAACTGCAAACTGTAATGGTGGTTCTTAACTAAAACCGCTAACGATGATTGCGGTTCTATGTTAAGAACCGCTATTGGTGTTAGCAGTTCTTCATTGAACTAAAAAAAAAAAAAAAAAAATTATCATATCCGATCTAATGTGGACATTACTGTGGGAATTAATTTTCAGAACGACGCAAAGAGGAATTAAAAAAACTATTTTTGATTTTAGCAATTTCTAAGGAAATCTTTTTTCTTCTCGTACAATTTGTATGATACGAATTTACTTACCCAAAAACTATTTTTTAATTTATTAATTTAAATTTTAAAAATTAAAAAAACCCAGTTTACCAGGAAAAAAAAAACATTTCAAAAAAAATAAAAATAAATGTACAAAATCCAAACAAAATTATTCGTTAAAAGATAATTAAAACAAAAACAAAATGAATAAATAATAATAATAATGTATTCTAATTCTATCTTTTTTTGAGGAAAACCTAATTTCGTTATCTTAGTACTTCGTATTTGCTTATAAATACGGAGTCAAACACACGTGTTTTTAATAAATTCACGCACACAATCAAAACACACTTAATCAGTTAATCACCAACTGAGAACTTTTTGCTTCGCAAATCTTTTTATTCTCCATGGTGGTTCATAGGCGCCATGACTAATATTATGAACTGAGATGTCTTGTGTTAGACTTAGGGTTCGAGACTTGTGGTTCATAGAAGGGACTGAAACTATCAGTTGACACAGGAGATATCTCCTGATCCTAAACAGTATAGAAGAATAATTGGAAGATTTGTACTTGACATTTCATACTCAGTTCAACAGCTTAGTCAGTTCATACAGACACCTAGAAAGCCTCACCTTCAAGTAGCTCTTCATGTGATTTCATATCTGAACAACTTATTGGGGATTATTTTATCCTTTGAGCTGAAACTTATGGGTTTCTATGATGCAGATTGGGATACTTGTGCCTTTAGTGGTAGATTTGTATATTCCTAGGGAGTAGTCTCATATCTAGGAAGACTAAGAAGACAGTGTCAAAATCCTCTATAGAATCAGAATACAGAAGCATGTCACACACAACCACTGAGTTGGTTTGGCTTGATGGGATCCTGGAAGACATGAAAGTCTCTATTCCAAAGCCATCCCTTTAATGTGTGATTACAAGGCTGCACATTACATTGCAAACAATACAGTATTTCATGAAACATTTAAAATTGGACTGTCACTATGTTAGAGAGCATAGTGAGGATGGTTTCAATGCCTATGTGAAATTAGGATTACAATTAGCTGATCTTATGAAATAACCTATGGGAGAGAGTCAGCACAATTTTCTTTCTTTCAAGTTAGGACTTGTTGGAACTTCCCCAAGTCTAACTTGAGGGGGGCTGTAGAAAATGACATGTTTTCACATGCTATTTTCTTTTCTTGTATAATGCTTCGTATAGCTGAATTTTATTGTGTATAGTTGTAGGTTCCTTTTGAACTCCCTCCGTTTCATAATAATCACAACTCTTTCCTTTTACGAGCGTTTCATAATAATTGCAACACTTCCCTATTTAGAAATGACCCACTTATATTTTATAATTTCTCTCTCACTAACCCCACTTACACTACTTTTATATTATTTCTCTCTCCTACTAATCATACTTTATATTATAAAAAAAAACACTTTTGGTCACCCTATAATATTTCTTAAACTTTGTGCATAGCCTAATGTTGTGATTATTACAAAACGGATGAAGTATTTCTTTTGTCCTTTGCTCAGGTATTTAGGGTTGGTAAATGTGGGTCTGTATATATGTGATGAATCGAATTGGGGGCTGAGTGGACCAGCAAACAGCCTCCTACGCTAGTCTATACTTGATGAAAGAAACACCTTGAGGCTCAAAACAAAGGGGGACACACTACAAGAAATAGGCTGATTTCCGACGGACACTAAATTCCGTCGGAAACCTCAGAAGTTCCGATGGAATTTTATTTCCGACGGAATTAAAATGCGTTGGAATATAAGGGTTTCCGACGGAATATTCCGTCGGAAATTTACTTTTCCGGCGGAAAAAAAAATCCGTCGGAAGTTTACGACGGAATATTCCCTCGGAAAATTACATTTCCGGCGGAATTAAAATCCGCCGGAAGTTTCTGACAGAATATTCCGTCGGAATAATTATATTTCCCACGGAATTAATACCCGTCGGAATTAAAGTAATTATTTATATAAAAAAAAAAACCTAAGACTAACCGGTTTCCCCTCTTTCTCACCCTCTTTCTCCGCCTCTTTCCCCTCTCTTTCTCTCTCTTCTTCTCTTCTCCTTCCCCCAAGTTTTTCTCTTAATCTCTTCTCCTTCTCTCTCCTCTCTTCCTTTCCTCTTTCTTGCCTCCTTCTTCTCTGACTTCTTTCCCCTCCTTCTCACAACAACGTCGAAGACATCTAGGTGTTTGCTTTCCCCTCCTTCTCGCCGCAACCAACACCACCGAACCACCACTATGCGCAACGTCTTGGTGGTTTTTTAGGCCAAATTCGACCATTAAAAGCCTAGATCTAGACTTTTAATGGCCGAATTTGACCTTGTTAAACCGTTCTCGTGGTGAAATTCGAGCCCATTTCAATTAATAAGGTATGTTTTGTTATTTAATTTTTCGATTTTCATTTTTTTTTCTTTGTTTTTTTTTTATTTTTTGGGTGTAAAGTGGTTGTGTGTGCGTGTGTGGTGTGTGGGTTGGTGGTGGGTTTTTTTGGTGGTTTCGTGGGTTTAATGGCGTGGGTTTGGGTGGTAGATCTGGGTGGTTTCGGGTTTTTTGGGGTAGTTTCGGGTTTGGGTGGTGGTTGTGGGGTGGTGGTACGGTTTAGGGGCAGGTGGGTAAGGGGGGGCAGTATTGGTTGTGGGTTGTAGGGGGGGCAGTGTTGGTTGTGGGTGGGTAGGGGGTAGTCAGTGGGGGTCGGGTGGGCTGGTGGTTGGCGTGGGTGGGTAGGGGGTGGGGTGGGCTGGTGGTGGCGTGGGTGGGTAGGGGGGGAAGTCAGGGGGGTAGGGGGCAGGGGGTGGGGTGGGCTGGTGGTGGTTTGGGTGGGGTAGGGGGTAGTTGGGGGGCAGGGGGTGGGGTGGTCTGGTGGTGGTGTGGGTGGGAAGGGGTGGCGTTGGGTGTGGGGTGGGGGGTGGTCTGGGTGGGGTGGGGGGCTGGTTTTTTTTTTTTTTTTAATGACTAACCTACATTCATTAAGCGCGTGATCCACAATTACCACATTTTTTCCGGCGTTCAAATTTCTTCCATCTCTTTGATCTTCTCTGCCTTCCTATCTCACTAATTTCAGTCTAAATTTTCATTAATTTTCTACTGTCATCTCCAAAATCACATACTTATGATTTAAAGAATAGATCATTTTCCTCTTCCTCCTGATCAATTTCTAATTATTTCATCATTAATTTATACGAATAGGTTTTCTTGATTAGTACTACATAAGTAAATTGAAGAAATAAACCTTAGAAAATTTACGTAGTATACGCTTTTCTGAATTAATGAATTAAACTCACTAATTCAGTTAAATCTCCAAAAAAAAATCTCAATTAGCAAAAATTACAACTTTCCTCAAATAAACCTTGAGAAAGAACAAAACCCATAATAAGTAAACCTTGAGAAAGAACAAAACCCATAATAAGTAAACCTAGATTTAAAATCTGAGAAAAATATATGCCTATTTTAAGCGAATAAAAACATTCACAATAAATTACTCGTATAGAAGAACACAAATGAAATGAAGTTTAAAAAGTGAGTGGTCTAATATTGTGATATAGAACAAGCTACAAAACATTCTAATTTAGCAATTCATACCACTATCTTTGCTCATTTACCGATTCTCAGAATTCAATATCACGTTGCCTCAGTTGCAACAAACAGTACATACAATTACAAGTACGAGCCACCGAAACCTATAGAAAACAACACAACACCAATTCAATCCTTAAAATTCAACTCACATTACACAAAAGTGAACATAAAACCACAACGCAAGCACAAAAGAGGAAATGTATTGTACTGGATCATTAGCAAACAGATCAAGCGAAGCTGAAAATTCAAATGTAACAAGCGTCTGATTAAATTCTTTATAAATGCTCCAAATTATTTACTCTTCACTGCTACTAAAATAATCAACAATACTAATTTTTAAAAAAATTGATAACCCTAAATTAAGTTGAAATAGATTTAGAAATTGATAGAACTGACCTAGTTGTGAATCCCAAATTATAAGTGTTTGGGTTCAATTTACTCCAACTGGGCTGGTCCACAGATGATTCAATTACAAAGCTCAAAAGAAGGTTTAAATTCTCCTAATATATGCCAAGTCAGTCAAAGGCCCGTTCAACATGGCAAGCTCATTTGACCTCAAGGCCCAATTTATCCATTTGAATAAGGTATAAAAGCCATGACTTCTCTCTCTCAATTCATTCACTTCAAATCTCAAACATTAACTCTCTTGCATAGCTTTCTCTCTCTAAACATTGTACTGACTTCGGCATCGGAGGGGCCTTCTTCGGCACAACCCCCGAGACCAGTTTACGTGTGTTTGCTGTGCAGAAAACCCTCGTTCCAGTCATCACTTGGTCTGAGTCCAGTCTTCAGCCCACAAGTAAGGTCCAGACGAAAGACCTATTGTTTTCATCCGAAATAATTTGGCCCCGTCTGTGGGGAAGACATTAAAAAACAAGCCAAAAATCCACCATCTTAGCAACATGACTAAGAGCGGAAAGAGTGCCAAGAGCACCAAAAAGAATGGTCCTTTTTCCTCGAAGAAGGTCCCAACTCCATCTTCACCCTCGAAGAAGGGACCACCTTCTTCATCATCTTCCGAGGCTACCTCGTCGGGGAACGCTACCTCGGACAGGTCATCTCGCAACATGGGTCAACCGTCCAACTCTTGGCGGCCGAGCCAGTCAAATGCTAGGAGTCCAACTCCTAGCCGCCATTCCCAATCTCGCCCAATGGGGACACCCCAAAACGGGTCCCACTTCGGAGGAAATGGCAAGAGCCCTCGCTACCCTCATGGATTCATGAAGGCTCAAGCGAATCAGCATCTCCCACCTCCTGCTCCCTCGGTACACGCTGGCTCCATAGAGCAGTCAAGGTACCTAAGGAGGAGAATAGGGCAAGAAGAAGGAGAGCGAATCCGTCTTTCAAGGAGTTCGAGCATTTGGACGAAGATACTTGGAGAACTAAACGGGAAAGAAAAAGAAACCCACAATTCTTCGAGTGGTCCGAACCCCGTAGCTTCAAAAGCAGCAACACCGCATCCACGCGGCAAGAGTATGCTCGCCGAAACGTTCACGAACGTATCATCCCTAGGGAGGGGAACGTACACAGTCGCCTCACCTACCCCGAATGTACTGCACCGTCCCAGCCGAGGACGAAAACAACTTCTACCTCTCTAAGAGGGGGAAGCTGAAAAGAATGGTGTCCTTCGAACAAGTGTATCATTTCGATAGAGGGCTCGGAATAAATTAGAAAGCTAATTATTCAGTGAGGTCAAGTGATCGGAATACCTAGGTGGAGGTCGCTTCCGATTAGTAATATTAATGAATAATTGATATTACAGCTTAATCTTGACTAAACCTTTCGTGTCACACCTAATCGTGTACCGAACCAAAAAGACGAATTAATCCGAAGGATTAAATGAATCAATCGAGTATTTACGAACAAAGACGTCGGATTCCGAGCTTAGAGCATCGAAGCCGAACATCATAAGCTGAGTCAAATTTAGGAATCGACGAGACAGAAAAATCGTCCAAACAACAAGTCATTGCACGGGGGAAAATCCTAGCCTCAAAATGGCCTAGCCGATCGAGGGCTAGGATGGCCAAGGCCATTGCCGCAAGGCAAGGCTCGACCGCAAGCTCAGCATGCTTAGCATGGCCGAGCATGCTGGCCAAGCATGCCTTGCGCATATCGCAAGGCCAGCATGGCTAGTCGCGCTTGCTAGGCAAGCCAGCAGCCAGCCCCGCACCATCGCAAGGCCAACAACAAGCAAATGCTCGCTGAGCCTTGCGCATGGACGCAACATCTAGTTGGGCTCAGCTAGCACAAGCAACGCAGCAGCAGCAGCCCGCATTGCGTGCGAGGCTTGCTGGCTATGCGTGCATGCGTGCGGGCTGGCTGGCAAACCCAGCCAAGGCGCCAGCTGGCGTGCGCCTATTGGCTCAGTTGTGTTGTGAGAGTTTGGCTTAGGGAGCAAGGGAGGTGTGGTCCTCCCATGTGGTCCTCACCTAACCCCTTGCTCTCCTCATGCCACTTGTTGTTTGGTGTGATTCATTTGGCTATTTAATTTAATTTAGAATTAAATTAAATTCCATTTTGCATTTTTTCCAACTCTCCCACATTGATGGGAGATGGGATTTCAAGGGCTCATTTCCCTATAAATACCAATCATTTGGCATTGGGAAAGAGCACTTGAGTTGGTGAACTGATCTCCAAAGAGAGAAAACCTTTGTTCTAATACTCTAAGTAATTTTTGGCCTTGCCCTGACTAAGCTTCGGGTAGGGGCTGGCTCGGTTCGGTAGCCAGGGTGTTAGCCGTTGGAGGTTCGCGCATTTGCGGGACTCTACGCTTTCAAGTCCGAGCTCTAAGTAAGAGCGCTTCTTATTTTGTTATATATGGTAATAAAATCATCGCAAGTCCCTAATGTTTGGTCTACTTCGCAAGAAATTGCAAAAAAAAAAAAAAAAAAAAAAAAAAAAAAAAAAAAAAAAAAAAAAACAAGGTCCCTAATGTTTGGTTCAGTCAAACTTTTGCCAAATGTTAGGGACCTACTACCTCCGGTTCTTGTTACTTGCAGCAATTTTCTAAAATGGATGGTTCACATTACTTGCAACATTTTATACTTTACTCGAAATTTCTAAGTTCCTTAATCCCCATGAAAAATGAGAAATAAGCATGTAGATGAGGGACAAAGGGAGTAGTAATTTTCATGCTTGAACATAAGCATAATTCCCTTCTAACTTGTCATCAGCCGATCTACATTTCTTTACACAAATCGTCTTTGAATTTAGATAAAGAAAGAGAAGATTTGAGGAGAGAAAGTATAAGATGAAGAGAGAAAGTATTAAGATAAAGAGAGAAAGTCTTGTATTGAAACAAGAATATATATTACTAAATGCCACAATAGAATTACTTATGCCGCGGTATTAATTGACCTCTCTACCCTTATAATTTAATTTTTGGCCTCATCCAATTTTCTCACCACCCATGCCCTCTCCACCACCATAAACCCTAAACACATAGGCACACAACTGTGAATTTGACCCCCGACCTGCACCACCAATTTCGCCGGAAAACACCTATCGCACCACCTGTCGCACCATAACTGCCGGAATTAGCCACCTATCACACCAAATCTACCGGAAAAAAAAGTAGGTGGACGACAATGGAATCGCGGCGTGGGAAGGTGGTTCGTTTGCCGGGAAACGCAGGGAAATCGTTGGCCAATTCGACCGCAAGTTTTTTTTTTATTTATTTTCATGTTGTTCGTCGGACTACCTGTAATACGCGGTTACACCGCGGCATAGTCGCATATTGCATGCGACTACGCCGTGGTTGAGTCGCATATTACATGCGGCTGAGCCACGGTGCAGCCGCATATAACATGCGACTCCACCATGGCGTAGTTGCATAGCTCGCAGCGCTCTCATCCTTTATAAAAGTATACCCGATCAACAAATTCATTTTATAAGGAGTAACACCAACGAGTTCCAAAAAAGGCATTTTGTATCTGTTTGTCTTGTAAGTTGAATCAACGCCAATGACCCATGGATACGTGCGTAAGAGCGCTAGCGACGTAGGATGTGCCATGAATACATGGGTCAAAACATTCTTTTCCGGGTCAACCAAGCTCCAATGTGTATACTGCGACTCGATACCAAGTTCAAGGAAATATGTAACAACAACTCTACCATCAGCTTCTTCAAGTCTTAACCGATCCCTAAAGTTGTAAATGTGTCTACGATTTGGATGGTAATCAGGAAACTGCTTCTGCACAGCCGCTAATATATTTTATGGCTTCACTTTTGCATCAGTCAGGTCACGAACAAGTTACTTCGCACCCGGACTAAGCTTGTTCATTTGTCGATTGCCTTCTTCATAGACAATTAGCTCATAATTGTGTTTACCATATGCATCGGGTCCCAAGACAATCTGCCATCCTTCATCATCAGAAACTTTGTAACTCTTGATAAAAAACTTGCAACCGCAATATTGAGTTTCTGTGTTCGGGCGTTGCGCAACACTCAGATCTCTATTTTCCTCTATCTCGAGCACCACGATTGCATCGCAAATATAACCATCCGTTATGGTTGTATGTATGCACAATTTGAAACTTAAGTGTTATTGCAATGTCTTTCGCCCATCGTGACAATTCTTGGTACGTTGGAAATAATCAGTTGGTCTGAAAGTGTGGGTAACAATTTACCCCATCGCCACCAAAATCTTCAATCGGATCCTATTAAAAAATAAAAAATACAAATTTAGCAAATATTTTTTTTTTGGACATTTAAACTATTAATACATGATATAACAATAATTATAATTAAAATTAACTTCAAATAAAATTAAATTCATTAGAAAACAACAAATAAAATTAAAAAAATCATCGAAAATTTACTAATTAAATTAAATGTATTTTTTAAATTTTAAGTATTATTTAAAAAATAAAAGGTACACGACCGCATGTAATATGCAACTATACCATGGTATAGTCGCCTTTAATATGCAACTGTACCTTGGTATAGTCGCATATTACAAGCAACTATACCATGGTATAGTCACCTGTAATATGCAACTGTACCTTGGTACAGTCGCATGTAATATGCGACTCTACCATGGTGCAGTCGCATATTACATGCGGTCACGCCATGGTATAGTTGCGTATTACATGCGACCGGGTACATCGGAAATTGAAAAAAAAAATGTTTGACATATACCCGACTCGACGGCGTCGAAGGTTCGTCATCCCCACCAAGTGCCTCCGATATGAACGCCAATCGTCGTCGACTCATTTTAGTGGTCAGAAAGTACAATGTTGGTGGTCAACCGTTGTAGAATCGGTCAAGCTGGTTGTCAAGGTGGAGTCATGGTGGTGGATGGTCAAGGTTAGTGGTGGTATGGGTGGTGGAGCTGATGGTCAAGGTGGAGTCATGGCTTGAGTAAGGTCAAGTTGACAATGATATTAAGGTGGTGGGACAAAGTTAGTAGTGGTTGGATTATTATGTAATTTTCAAAAGTAAAAGGGCAACGAAGGTCATTTAATACCATAGCTTGAGTAAATCCATTGTGACAAATGACAATTCACTTTTGAAATGCTACCTAAAATATTTTATTACAGGTTACTATTTGTTTGAGATTTTTTTTTTCTTAATTATCTATTGCGTGCATAGTGTCACCCCCAGTAGAAATCCTTAATCTAGCAGAGGTCACAATTTTGAATCATAGGATCAAATTAGAATTTATTTAATCAAGATTATATTCATAGGAGGTTGTGAGCGACTAGCCGACACCAACAACGAACCACTTGTTTTGTTTCATTGAGAATTTGCCGTCATGTCCAAACTCTGTCCAAGTTTCCAAACTTGTACTGCTTTGTAGTACACCTTTTTCTTAGATCAGCCAATTTCTGTACTAACTACTACAAAATGTTCTACTTTGTCTACTTCAATGTGTACTTCATACTTGTAAGCTGTATTGTTGTATGAGTAGTTCATGTACGAGTGTTGTGTTAGTGTGCCTCGTGCTTAAGTGGACCATGTTTAAAATGGATTACGTTAAAAAAAATAAGAATATTCCAGCCATAATAACATCATCCAAGCACAACGTATATACTTCTTTGGTGCACTTGTGTCGTGTTAGCGTGTCTCGTACTTAAGTGGATAATGCCTAAAATGAGTTAAAAAAATACTTATCACGTTGTGCTGGGCTCGTGTTGATATTTCATAAATATAGAGCACAGCCCAACAATACGACACATAAAAAAAATAAGCGGGCAAAACTGAATATTTGGTCGACGTGCTCGTGTCGAGTTCAGGCCAATTTTAAACATACACGGCCCACTGGCTAGCCTATCATGTCAAGCCGGACTTATGATAGGCTCGTGTCAAATCGGGCCATTTTCATGGAGTGCCTAACCAATCCTCATGCCAACTCAGTCCTTTCCATCTCTAGGTGCACGACGGACTAAAAGTTAGACATGCTAGCAATGTATCAACACTGAAATCCGATAGAAATTCGTGAATTGAGATAGTTACACTCATGTTTATATCCAAAAGAATATATATATGAGTACATGTAAACACGTTATAAGCCAAACTAGCATACATTTTGTTGCATATATATGCACAAGAGAGAATGTACAGTACATGTTCTTTTTTCACAATGAAAAACAATTTTTCCTTGGCTTAATAAGAAAAAGTTTAACTGAAGGAGCAGATTTAGGAGATAAAGAAACTCCCTCCCATTTTCTATGGAAAGATGGCCTAGGTAGATTTTCGGGTACAATAGTTTCCAATGAATTAATGTTCCATGGTGGGCACATTCTTTTGTCACTCCATCTTGTAACACTTCTTTTCTTATCGTTCTTTGGTACGAGTAAATGAGATTCGATTTCAAGTTCGCTAGCCATCGAATAATTTCCGTTGTCGTTGCTTAAAATATCTCCTACTTCTAGACCAATTACTATGGTTGTTGCAATTGCCATCAACTTTTGGCTCCTCCATGATGACTTATTCTCATTACCTTTCCTAATCAAAAAATCAATCAATACAATAAATTTTAGTCATGGTTTTAAAATAATTCGCTTTCAACAAGGGTATTTTAGTAAAGTCATTTATTTCGTGTAATTTATAATAATGAGAGTGAACCCAACGGTTCACCCTTGTTAATCAATTTATTATTTCTTGAAATTTAACAAATGATATACGTAGCCCAAAACCTGAGTTTCAAATCCTATATGTCTCGGCAAAACTCGGGTTTTGGGCTAAACTTATCAACAAAATGATTCGAAAATTGATATGATTACCTTGGAGCATATGAAAAATATTTCTTTGAAGGCGAAGATGATGATGAAGTACGATCAAGGGGTGAACTTGGAGGCAATGGATTATGGCAGCAATACGTTGATAAATTCATCTTACTTTTCTCTCAATTTTGTAAGCCTTCTGAAGTTTAGATCAACTATGTAATAACTTTGTTGTATTTATAGGAAAGTGAAAGGTACTGCAAGAAATGTGGTTGTACTTCTATTTGGAAGTATAGTACTTACAAGCAAGAGGATGTTTATGAGTGATCCAATAATTTTGGGCTTCGTTAATTATTAAATACAAAAAAGGGAGAAGAACCAATGGTCCAAACTGAATATGGAAATGGGTCAGACTAGGCACGACACATCCTAACATGAAAAAAGCACGGCACGATACATTATTGTTACTCAATTAATCCAATTATTACTTTCTAATTTTTTTGATTTCCAACAAACATCACTTATCCAATATTTTACGTAATTTAATTTACCTTCTTAAAACATAGCGGCTATCGATATGACACTTTTAAAAAACGAAGGGAGTATGTCAAAACCTTAGCTTAAAGTACAGTGGTTATAAGTCAAGTTTTTAGATATGTTTTTTTTTTTTTTTTTTTTTTTTTTTGGGGTTTAGAAAGCCACAAGGGCGGGCGATGAGAATTAATCCCAAGATCTCTTGGAGCTGGAAGGGGAGCTCTAACCACTTGAGTTATCCATTACTCTCAAGTTTTTAGATGTATTAAGCATGAGAATTTAAGCTTGAAAAAGTTTGAGACTCGGCTCGAGTTTAAATGAAGTGTTAGAGAGCCCAAACTACCTCAAGCTTCTCAGCTCAACTTAACTCGGGTCATTAACACCCTTAGCTAATTACGGTCGTTATGGACTAAATGTAAATCATAAGGGACTTATATTGAGCATATTCTCTAATTAAATTCAATGACAAAAATTGTGTAATGGTCAATTCCCAAAGGTGGCCCAACAAATTTAGAACTTCTTTGCATTAAACACCAATTTCGTTGGTTTATGCTTATTGAGCCATTTAACAAAGTTGCTAAGAAGAAGCAAAGGCAATTAACTTATTATTCGATCACTTTTCTAGAAGAAGTTTCAATTTTCCTTCTCTACTAGTTTACCCGTCAAACAACTGCTACCGAAATAGAGTTTAGCTTTGTCCTTTGTTTTAAAGGTCTAATTCTAACATAAAGGTGTAACGTAACGAACTTTATTTCCTTTGTTTGATGAAAACGTAATGAACTTGGATTGCGTATAATATATGCAATGGTGTGAACAATGCTTTAAACCTCCACGATACTTGGGCATGTCTTTGTCATTGTAAAGAAAAATGGGAGGTTCAAAGGTTTAGTTTTGTATGGTGGAATAGTCGATATTAAACGGCTTGAAATTTAAGATTTAATGTTCTCTTAAAAAATTTGGATTAACTTAAATCTTGATGTTTTTTTGGGAAAAAAAAGGGAAATAAGTGAAATTAAAGTTAACTCTTCATAAATATATTTCCCTAATTTATCCATCAACAATCCAACATATTCTGAATCTTACTCCTCCTATTTTTTTTTTATTGCCCCATAGTGACATGACATACATGCCAATGCAAAACTTTGACTAATAATATTTTTAATTATTATTAACTATAAATTATAACAATTGAATATTAATTATCAACTCATTGAGACGATTCTAACAAGTACCTACAAGACTATATTTTTTTTTCTTATGTATAATTCACAAACATTAGTCAAAGTATGTTTAGTAAATAGTGCCAAAATCCCAAATGGGACACTTAAAAAAAAAAGGAGGGAGTATGTACCAATAGTCCAGTATTATAATAAATCATCAGCCATTAGATGTGCACCAACATGACCAAAGGAGTCTTGATTAAACCTTCAAATTTGGTTGGCTTGATTTCTATGATTCATATAAGAAATATCAAATTAAAGATATATATTGTATTGATAAGGGTGTAAAAACTTGGTTTGTAGATCCATCAAGGATGACAAAATGAGCAAGGTTGAGTATCTAGTTATATATTCAAGATTCATAAACTTGAAAACGGATTGCAATCAACAATTAACAATCTTAAAAATAAACATTTTATTCCTTGTTGTTCTAATTACCAATTATTCATTTGTCGATGTAGAAATAACTTTGATCGTGTTTTACAATTTATATTTAAGAAAAAAATTTATCCTACAACATCTACAAGTACCAAATAATAAGGTAAAACCTCACATGAAGCCATTTCTCAAAGACTCATGTTGAGGTTGTAATTAACTATTTTTTTTTTTGTTTTTTTAGGGATTAAATTATTAACTCTTGAAATAAAATTAAAGGTTTGTGTTTCACTCCTAATTCCTAAACCATGATTACATCTACACAAGGTATTAAATCAAATTATCATTTCCCAATTATTGTCTTCAAAATGTACGGAGTATTATAAGATCTTAAAAAAAAACCATACATTGCATCTATCTACATATACAATCCAAAAAAACTGAACAAAATATTATAAATTAAATTTGAAAAGATTAATAACAAAGGTCTCAACCATGGACGACCTTCTTTAACAGGTCTCAACTTTTAAATAACTAAGAGTAGTGTCAACTATCACACTTATTTTCTTCCAATGGTCCGTTACCTGAATTAACCTGCTAAAACAGGTCAAATGGACCAAGTCTCATTGTTTCAATGGTTATTTTTTTTTTTTTAATTTTTTTTGTTGCAATCATTGTGTCATTTCATCACAAATCTCTCCAACCAATACCCTGCCAAAACTACAACCGGCGGCCACCCACCACAAAATCATTACCGTCTACTTCCTCTCTCCGGGCACCCTTTCCTGCTAAAACACTATCGTACTTCAACCTCCGTCTTTTCTCCCTCCGTCCCCTGCCAAAATTGCCACCAACTGGCCCTGCACGACAGCGACCACCGCTTAAGAACAACTACCAAACCACCCCACGACCCCACCTCACTTAAACCCTTACTTTTTCCCCAATTTTGATTAATGAGGTTGTAGAACACTTTATTAAATTTGATTAATGACAAAATTTAGGCAAAATATAAACAAATTTACCTATATGGTGGGCGAAGTGGGTACAAGTTTGGGTTTGGTCGAAGCGGCAAAATGGGTTATGGTTTAAAGTGATCGTGGTAGTGGAGATGTTAGTAGCGAGTCTGTACTCAAGACTGAAAATTTGGATTTTTTTTTTTTTTTTTTTTTTTTTGTGTAATGGGGTTTGATGGTGTGTGGGTGGTCAGTGACTCAGTGGTCTAACGATGATGGGGTTATGGTGAAGCTGGTGGAGAGAAAAGAGGGTTAATTATTTTTTTAAAGTTTATTTACAAAAATTAACCTCTCAATAGAAATGTAACATGTGGCATTAGTAACCGGCTTACCTGGTCATTTTAGGCTAAGGACTGTTTTGAGAATATATTAGTACTAGTTTTGTGCCTGGGCGATGCCCAAATTGTTGATAAAATTTCAGTATAAACTAATTTGCTTGAATGTTAAATACGGTCTTGCAATCCCTTTTTGATGATGTAGGATATTTAGACATACGATGCCATATCACTGATTTAATTAAATTAATGTGTACTTTTTGTAGTTTAGTTTGTGAATAGATATGTATGTACATTATTATTGACTTGAAATTATTTTTATTGAACATGAATTGTTTTTTTTTACTAATTCTCTATTATTTTTTTAAATAAATTAAATATATTATAAATGGATCTTATTTTATAGAACTTTTTAAAACGAATTTGATGATGGAATTAGATTAGAGTTATAAGATATTTATTAAAAGTTATGATTAATTTTGTATATATGAAATATTAGAAGTATACTGATAATAAAACTCAATACAACATTTTTATCTTAAAAAAAAAATATATATCCAAATTCACTTACTAGGTATTATATGTGTCACAATAATAGCTACGAGCGATGTCCGGATTGTTGATAAATTTTTAAGATAAACTTTTTAGCTTTAATGTTCATTAATACGGTCATGTAATCCTTTTGATAATGCAGGATATTTAAACAGATCGAATCCTATCGCTTATTTATAGAATAGTGTACTTTTTGTAGTTTTGTTTGTAAATAGATATCTATGTTATTGTTGACTTGAAATTATTGTTATTGTACTTAAATTATTTTTACCGAACTGAAAGTCTTTTTACAAAACCAAAATTATTTTTACTTATTAAAACCTATCTTTACTAATTCTCTATTTTTTTTAACTAAATTAAATATATTATAAATGGATCATATTTTAAAGAACTTTTTGAAACGAACTTTATGATGGAAATAAAACCGAGTTGTAGGATATTTATTAAAAGTTATGATTAATTTTGTATATATGAAATATTAAAAGCATATCGTTGATAAAACTCTATACAACATTTTTATCTTAAACTAGTTTTGTTCCTAGGCGATGCGCAGATGGTTGATAAAATTTTTACTTGAATGTTAAATGCGGTTATATAATCCGTTCTGATAATGTAGGATATATAAACATAAGATAACTTATGGCTTATATTTATATAATAGTGTACTTTTTGTAGTTTTGTTTGTAAATAGATAAATATGTTATTATTAACTTGAAATTACTTTTATTGAGCTTAAATTATTTTCAAAGGTAAGTATTTTTACCAAACTAAAATTATTTTTACTGATTAAAACTTATTTTTATTGATTATCTATTTTTTTTAAATAAATTAAATAACAATGCATTTTGTATGCAATTTGCCACACCATTTGGTCGGACAAAGTAACCCATATAAAACTGTCCGAGTAACCCCTAATACTAACTGATAAATAACCTCTAACGCTGACTAAGTAACCCTTATCTATAACACTGACTGAGTAACCACTGTAACACTAACCAAGTAACCTCTATAGCACTAACAAAGTAACTCTTATAATAGTTGGTGACACGGTTTGACCATCTACATACAATATAAAAGTTTTAGATTAAATATATTATAAATGGATCTTATTTTAAAGAACTTTTTAAAACGAATTTGATGATGGAAATGGAATTGAGTTATTAGAATTCTATCGATAATAAAACTCTATATAACAATTTTATCTTAAAAAATCTATCCAAAAATCGTTTACTTAACATTATACGTGTCATAATAATACCTATTTATCGCCAACGTGGCGCGACACTTAACGAAAAACTGGAATGCCGAGTGTCGCTGTCTCGTGGCCTGGCTGCGAGACCGACTTTATTTATTAGAGATATAATATGATGTGATGATAGTTGGGACTATTCTTAGTTATTCGAAAGCTCATACTCGTACCTTTTAAAGAAGAACGCTCGTAGATGGGACTTTTCTTGTTAATTTTTCCATTAAATTTCTCTTTTTACTCATGTACTCCATAACGAAGTTCTTGATAATGATCAAGATTTTTTTGGATCATCATACTTAAAACGCAAGTAAATTAATGACAATGTATCTATGATTGTATGGATAAACCGACATTTTTCATAGATTTTGTATAGAGATTAACCTTATCTTTCCAATTTAAAAAACCCCAAAAAAATCCTCACCCTTAAAACCCTTTTCACGAATTTAAGACCGTTCCTTTATTAGACACGTATTCCCCAAAATTTCCCTAAAATTTCAAATCTTTGATTTCGTTCACAGAATCATACCATAAATTTATTCCAATACCAATTCAATTCAATCTCCCCCGAATTATGCTATTTACTTTAATTTAATTTATATACCGAAATTTCACATTTAGGGTTTCCATCTGATTTTTCCGACGTCTTGTATTATTAGGGTTTAGATCTAGCAAAATTGGAGCTTTATCTTCATTGATTATTCCAAGAATTTGAGAAAGGCGTGATCTTTGAGTGTTGAATTCAATTGAATTTGAGTTTTTATTGAAGGAGAAGTTACATGATTGGGGGATTGAAGAAGCTAGGGTTAGGGTTTGTTGTTAATTTGTATTAGAGAAAATTGGAGAATGTGTGATGGTTTGTCAAATGGAGGAATTTAACAAGGTTAATGGTTGTGGTGAAAATGGCAGCTCAAGTGAGGGTTTGCCGCCGAAGCCTCTTGCAGCTGCGTATCGGCAATGCTTCAGTGCTACTCGATCTTCGGCGTTGCGGAAGAAGACGCTTTTGCGACACCCTTCTCTTGTAAGCTTATCAATTTGGAGAATTTAATGTATTATTTAGATAATTTAGCTTTATGTTATGTATATTGCTGTTTAAATTTTGGTTATTAAGTTTTTATTCAAGATTTATTAGATTTTGTTTTTTGACTGCATTGCTGTTGATTTGATGAAATGATGTTTGTACAATAGTGTTGTATGCTGAAAATTGAATATGGTTGGAGAATTGTGGACTAATCTTACTTGATGCGAGCAAAAAGTCGAAAAGTTTGGCTTGTTGCTTCTTTAGATGCAAGTAAAATGGAATTTTTAGAGTAATTGGCTTGTCGCTTCTTTAAATTCAAGTATCATAGAGATTTGAGAGTAATTGGCTTGTTGCCTCTTTAGATTCGAGTAACATGAATTTTAAGAGTGATCATGTAGGGGATGGGTTGTAGTATTTGGAAAGAAGGGACGATTTTGGCTCTCGTGTTAGGTTGGATTGGTTTGGTTGATGCAAGTTAAGCATTATAACAGAGATGGTAATTCATCATTAGGGATTCAACAAGTTAATGATCGTGGAATTGATTCATAAATGAACTACTTCCTATCTCTCTACATAGTGTTTGGATTTATGTAGACATTTAGTGAGAACATCCAATGCAGAATATATCCATTATAAGTCTTATAATGCATTAATTTAAAGAGTTATTTATGATAATCGAACTGAAATTGAACGACTGTTCTTGGTACTAGCCCTTCAGGTGCATTACACTGGGCATACTCTTGTCAACTTCTTTACCCTGTAGCATGTGGTTCTTAGACTAGCTCCAGCATGAAATTTGACTCTTAAATATTGGGTTATGGCTGCCTGTTTGTGTTTATTTGGTTAAACAACTGGTATCACGGTTCTTGGGTTTCAAGTCATCTTTTTGTTTAAAATCATTTTTGGTTTCACGGATCTAGGCGTTGCAGCTTTAGTTTAGCCATGGGAAAAAAATGTGTTATTTTTTCCAGCATTAGAGATAGAATAAAAAATGAGGTTATTCGCAAGAAAGTAGGTGTGGCAGGCGTTGCAGACAAACTAAGGGAAAATTGCATGCGTTGGTTTGGGCATGTAAGACGGAGACCCGAGGGTGCACGGTTTAAAGTGATAAAGTGGGCCAACAAGCCAAAAGTCAATAGAAAAAGCAACTTATATTAGCTTTTGGCTTTTCGCGGAAAAGCCAGCTTAAAAGCCAACGAAAAAAGCCAAGTACCAAACATATTTTTTTGGCTGTTTGACCAAACTAAATAGCCAAAAGCCAAAAGTTAGGCAAAAAGCCAATTGCCAAACATCCCCAAGTCTATTTGTTTATGTTGTATGGTCTCTTTAGGTTTTATAGGTTTCTGCACTTGACTCATTTCAATCACAATGGGTCTGTCAGATTGATTTTCCCTACCCTTGATGTTTTGTTTTGGCACTAATGCACAACGAATACAAAATTTTATTTTCTGTATTTTTTTTTGTGTGTGTGTGTGTGTGTTTTGGGGGGGGGGGGGTGGGTTGCTGAAGCAGGCACACCTTTTCAATTATTCTGTCATGTTTAATTTTGTTTCTTTGATTTTTTACTAGAATTTTCTTTTCTTTTGTGTATTATTCTATGTGGTTGAAAGTTTCTAATTAGAAAATTAGCAGGTGAAAATGCCAGACATTCCTGTTGAGCCCCTGATTGGTGATTGCGAGTCTGAGTTCCTTCCCATTGTTCGTTCTGGAGCATGGACAGATATTGGATTTCGTTCAAACATGGAGGATGTGTATGTATGTCTTGATGATTTTATGCTTCATTATGGGCTTCAGCATACTGGTGAAGGACCAAATGCCTTTTATGGGGTATATATCCAACTACTTACCTTCTTTCGTGTTTGAATTACATGTGATGTATTTCCTTCCTGCAAACCTAGATTCTGTGGTGCAGGAAAGTGGAGTCTAGGCATTCATGGTTTGTAGGACAATTCTATAGTTTATATTGTAATTATAATTTAGCAATCCACTTTTTCTATTGTAGACAATCTTGTAGTGGGATGCAGAGCTGTGAGTTTTTATTTTATTTAATTATTTATTTATTGTGTACTGGTGGTACTTATAAGTTTGGAGTGTTATGCCTTGATGGCTTTTTTATTTTATTTTATTTCTAATGATGTTTTTTTTTTTACTAAATCTTAACATATAGGTTTTTGATGGTCATGGGGGCAAGCATGCTGCTGATTTTGCCTGTTGTCATCTGCCACGGTTCATTTTCAAGGACACAGAATTTCCCGGTGAAATGGAAAGGGTCATCAGCTCAGCATTTTTGCAGACTGACAATGCCTTTGCTGAAGCATGCACGTTGGATTCAGGGCTTGCCTCTGGTACAACTGCATTGGCAGCTCTTGTTGTTGGCAGGTTGGTCTTTCTATTCGTTTCTCTACTCAGCAATTATATCCTCTATCAGCATATATTTGGCTTACCACTGGCTGAAAATCCTCTATTTTTCATCTGGCATTCTGATTGTCCCTCTTTTGTTGTTTTTGGCTGTGATGTATAGTAGGCTACTGCCTACTGGATTGTTAACTGTGTTTTGAGTTTCCATCTGCCTTTTTATACTGGTGAGCAAGTTGTGTATGTAGCCAACCCTTGTTGGCTTGTCGCAGCACTCCTTTATATGGCAACTTTGGCTGCATTTATATTACCTGGCCTTGATTGTTTACTTAGGTATCTAAAGATAATACAGTAGCCTGAGGGTATTGTATGCAACTCTGAGTGATATGTGGACCCATTTTCTTTATTGTTTTGGTTTTGTTTCATGTAATCTATGCTAGCCTTTTATAGGAAATATTTATATCACTACATGTTTGGAGTAATATGAATATTTTGACAGCCTTTATTCCTGTCATCAAAGTATTAGGTAGAAGGTAGTTTAAAATGTCGTCGATGAGTTGTTGGAGAGAAAATCAATGGAGTTGTTGATATGATAGGATTGCATTTGAGATATAAAGTATTAGGACTATCAGGATAATACTTAAGGTTGAGAACAACTTATTGGATTTTTAATTTGGGCTTAATGATTTTAACGTCCTCTTTTCATCTGATATGGGGAGAGAGATTACAGTTAGTAGTGATGGAAGGTAATTTACAGCCCCTTCCATTAGGATACAAAAATGTTCCATAAAAATGAGCCTAGAAATCAGAATGAAAAAAAAGTTTAGCAATTGTAGCTGATGAGCAACAAAATACTAAATCTGTCTGGTAGTGGGCTCATAACTCATATGGAATTAGTTGCATGAAATGTGTTTATGTTGTCGAGGGATTCTAAATCAATAATCGCTCTTGTCATTAATGACAATAACAAGTGCATGTTAGTACTTTTAGACCTTATGCTGGTAAAATATTATACCGACATGAGGCTTAAAAGTACCAACAAGATGGTTGGTATTTTAAGACTTCATGTTGGTAAAATAATTTACAAACACAAGGTTAAAAAGTACCAATAAACACACGTTATTGTCATTAATGACTAGAGTAGTTATTGGTACAGATTCTCTTGTATTGCCATTTTTTTTTTTTTTTTTTTTTTGGATGGTTCTCCTTTTTACCCGGTTGGCTAATTGGAGACTCAAAAGCCCATGATATTTGAGTTGGTTTTTAAATTCTAAGAACAGTTAAAAGATCTTGTTGAAAGTTACCCTTAGTTTGGCATGACAATATAGAGTAATACTGAAAGAAGGGAATTGGATAGATACCGAAATAATAAGTTTAATGTTGGGATGGAGAGTGAAAGGGCTGATATGTTGGGAGAGAGGAGGGTATAGATTAATATTTCAGTTGTCACTTTCAACTCAGAATTATGGTGAAGTTCATCTTGGGACATCGCAAATAGGAAAAATGCAAAGATATTTTAGGATGGAGGGAGTATCTCTATTAAAGAGGTTTTAAATGTTGGAAGTTCTTTTGTTCTGACAAAATCCTTATCTAAGCGGCTTTAAGTTCAAAACTATATCTTGGCGGAGTATTTGGTATTTTTTTTTTATATATGAGATGCCTGAATGTGGAACTCATTTTTTGATTTACCACAGGTCATTGGTTGTGGCTAATGCTGGTGATTGTCGAGCTGTATTATGCCGGAAGGGCAAAGCAGTTGAAATGTCAAGGGATCATAAACCGCACTGCTCTCGGGAGCTGAAACGAATTGAAGCTTGTGGAGGCTATGTTGATGATGGCTACCTGAACGGCCAACTCAATGTTGCCCGTGCTCTCGGAGACTGGCATATGGAAGGATTAAAGGGTGGTGATGGTGGACCCTTAACTGCTGAGCCTGAGCTTATGACAATTGAGTTGACTCAAGAGGATGAGTTCCTTATCATAGGATGTGATGGATTGTGGGATGTTTTTAGAAGCCAGAATGCTATTGATTTTGCACGGCGAAGACTTCAAGAGCACAATGACCCTGTGATGTGCAGCAAGGATCTTGTTGATGAGGCTTTGAAGAGGAAAAGTGGGGATAATCTTTCTGTTGTTGTAGTTTGTTTTCGGCCTGAGCCACCCCCTAACCTGATTGCTCCAAGGCCTAGGGTCCAAAGGAGCATTTCCGCTGAAGGGTTGCGAGAATTGCAGAGCTTTTTGGATGGTTTGGAAATTTAGCTAAGATGGTGACGACGAATAGTTAGTTCCTTTCAGATTCATATAATCGTAGCGTCGTAGTTAGTCCTGTTGAGATCGGAGAAGTCATCGAGGTGATTGTCCAACTGTACCATATGCGGCAGTAAGTTGACATTTTCATTCCTGTTCTAATCTAGTTTTATGGCTGATTTATATTTTAGGCAATGAGTTTAGTATCTCACCTCGCTGTAAGGTTATATTTTTGTAGTTGGTAGTTTGGCAATGTTGGTTCGCTTTATGAAGGATGCTTTACGCTTCATAAACACGACTTGTAGGGGGATGGAGCCATATTCTTTGAGCTCCCTCATGATTCTTAATATGAGACTTTCCTCGTACTACAAATTGTGGTACAAAATGTTCTATGGTTTTGTTGCTTATACAACCTTTATTAATCTCATTAGTTTTGCTGATGATATATTTGTTTGTTTCACAACAACCATCATATTGCAGTTCCATGAATATATCCATATGCTTATAAAAATTGCTGATCGGTATTGGGTTTTTTTTTTCCCCCCTTCAAATGCTGCTTTTAAGAACACAAAATAAACTGGTAGCTTATTTACAGGGGAGAGATGCTGGTTCATCCTCATTATGGTATATACTACGAAGTACTCCCTCCGTCTCTTTATGTTTTGCCCTATTGCAAATATATAACAACTCATAAACCTTTAACCATGAATTCTCGTTAATCTATGAGTGATAATATATTCATGTGGGATCTTATTAAAATCTTCTCATTGTATATTTATTAATATCAAATTTTTATACTCCCTCCGCTTTATATTAATCTAGGGTGTTTACAAAATTTAAGAAAAATTATAGGGTGGAGCCCAAAAGAGAATTTTTTAAAATATGAAGTATTGTTAGTAGGAGAGAAAAATAATAAAAAAAAAAATGTAGGGTAAGTGGAGTTGGCATGAAGGAGAAATAATAAAAATATTTGTGAAAGTGGGTTTAGTGGGAGAGAGAAATCTAATATCTAATATATATAAATAAATTAGGCATTTTTTGAGAGCATTCGAAGCGCTACGTAAGAAATATACTTATAAGATTTGTATTTTATTTTTGAATTAAAAGATTATGTCGCCACCTAGATAAAAATAACGAATTAGATTTGATATATCTAAAATTTTAATGTCACGTAGATTATAATCCACGAATTAAATTTTTTTTAATGAAAAAAAATAAAGTTAAAATATAGGAAAAGATAAATTTATTAATTCAATACTACGAGTATAAGAAATCCAAAAAAAATACTAAGAAATATTTAAATGATAAACGCTTATAATAAAGTTTGATACCTATCATTATAAGATAACTTTTGATCGTATTTATGATAAGAAATACAAATTATTCGTTAATTATAATTAAATTAAAATTTGTGATACCTACCATTATAAACTGACACATCAAACGACACAAACAAAATTTCGTATCAATAAAAAACCTCATCAAGTGAATTTTGTGTTAGTAATTTTGTGTTAATTTTTGGTCATTAATGGCCGGGTAATTTTAAGCTTAATTTTTAAAATCCTATGTTTAAATTAGTATTTTTAATTATTACTTACATTGTATTAATTTGGGATTTTCAACGATTATATGTTTATGTTTTATTTACTAAATGTTTTTTTACATGCAGATCTAACACATCATACGACACAAATAAAATTTCATATCAATACAAAACCCCATCAAGCGAATTTTGTGTTAGTAATTTTGTGTTAGTTTTACGTCATCAATGTCCGGCTAATTTTTAAAATCTTATGTTTAATTTTATATTTGTAATTATTAGTTACATTGTATATATTTAGGATACTTAACGACTATTTGTTTATGTAATGACATACGATTAGATGTTGTATACTTAATATATGGATGACTTTTGTTATTTTTGGAGATGATGAAAAAATTCCAATGCATAGATTTGATTTTATATCGCAATAATTTTTCATTTATTGGTAAATATATTGATTTATTTTATATAAATGTAAAGATTTAATTTATATCAATTTCAGTTTAGCTATCATTTCAAGGTTCAATTTATCCATTGATGTAGTAGGTTGGTTATGGACGAGGTTGGTGATTCTATCGAAATAAAAGATATGATTTGTCTGAACTTATTAAATACAATAAAAAATAATTAAAAATCTTAGATGAAAAAGCCGTGCATCCGCACGGGCTTCCATCTAGTTATAAAATAATGGTGGGTCCTTTCCAAATATAGACGTGTTGCAATTAATATGAAACAGATGTAATAGGAAAGTGTTACGATTAATACGAAACGGAGTAATTTTTATGCGTATAGAAATTGAAATATATGCGTTTGAACACGCGTCTTGAAGACCATGAGAAGTCAAATGGAGCAAAACATAAGGGACCGAGGGAGTATTATTTACTATGTATATGGTAATATGCTAGACGCTTTTGTATTGATGATGCAACGAGCTTCATTGCTAAACGGTTTTCCCGGGTTCATTCAGTGTTCAGTACCCAAATGATCCTACAATTAGTATTGGCTACGTTTGTGGAGAAGTTAGGATTTCCCAACCTAACTACAGTAAGTATGGTCAGGCACAATCCAAATTGTTGAGCCATTTTTTGAGTTGACCTGACATGACATGAATCAAATCTTTATACTACTACGGTTTTTTGGGACATAGACCAGCTCTTTCTTTTATCTTTTCTCTATTTATTACAAGGACAGCAGGTGAATTATGGGAAATACTTCTGTCTAATGAGACGAGGATGAGATAATGTGACAACAATCTTTAGATTAGTTTAGCTGTAAAATACACAAAATGCGAGCTAAATGCAGTTCATGTTCAATTCACACAGTTTTCGCGCATCATAACAATTTTTTTTTTTTTTAAAAATGTATCATAACATATTTGAACTTTTTTGATCTTATATAGTTGTATATTAAATTTATGAAACTCATATTAATCATTATTAAAACTTATCTGAATTCTTCTAAACCTATCTAAATTATTCTATAACTTTTTTTTAACTTATTTTTCATGATGAGGGGAAATAAGGTTCTTAGTTGTTGAACAATTAAACAAAGGTTTTTAAAATTTCACTGTCTTATAAAGTTACAAGCACAATATGCTGTAAATGGTGTAATTTCTGACTTGACAGTTGATACTTTCAGGAAAAAAAAAAAAGTACTAGTATACAAATTGAATAGCAATTCTACAATATGAACTTTTGGGTGTACATTCATTTAATTTGCTACAAAGAATCAAGAATAAAGAATTTAATATCGAAACAAAAAGTGTAAATGCATTTAGGATGAAACACTGCATTCAGTAGGAAGCCCTTCAGGAAACCTCTGAACATCAGCACAATAATTGTAGACCATATAATTCTTCTGCACCCACTTCATCCTTTCCATGCTTGTTGAATCTAGCTCTTCAGTCAGCCAATCTGAGGTCGAAGAGGGCGAAGAACCCGACCCACACGAAGATGAACCAGATGCCCAAACACAAGCATCAGCATTGAATTTCCTGTATGACGCAGTAAACGGGGTTTGAGTCCAATCAGTCTTGACTCGCCCGCCTTGTGTAGCCCAATCATCAGCATTCCACAAGCTAGAGTAAATCCTCATTGGTTGATTCTTAGGGAATGGGATTCCTTGTGATTCCATGTTCTTGTGCTCTCTAATTGGAATCCCATCAACTGAGAAAACAATCCTCTGAGGGTTCCAAAGGATCGAGTACGTGTGGAAATCCTTTGTAGGATCGAACCATAGGTGGAACTGTTTTTCGCGGTTACCTTTCCCTTGAGCAAACACATTGGTATGGAGAGTGTAAGGTTGTCCACTAACATTTCCTAAAAACTCAAAATCTATCTCGTCGTGGGTAGTTCCCATCGACGAAAGATAATAAGCGGTGACAGTACCAGCAGAGTTACCAAGAACGAGTTTTAACTGCATATTGATTTTACCAAATAGGTACTCGTTTTTAGATTGGAAACCCGACCCTGAGGCTTTGTCTAGGGAGAGGGTGAGGTCATCCCCATCGCCGAGGATCTTACCTCGACCATCTCCCCAAGTAATGGTGAAGTCATTGTTGAAGTTAGCATTAGAAGTGGCAATAAAAGTGGCTAGAAAAAGAGTGGCTAAAACAAGTGAAGAAGATGCCATATTTTGAGTTGGTTGATATTTCTAAATTTGGAGAGAGATTATATATAGGAAGTGAATGAATGAGTGGATGAATGCTAGGAAGGTTCTTGCATAATAAGTGGGTAGGATAGCTGGAGTTTGGTGGATGGCAATAGAAAATGACATGAACAAAAAAACCGTGTTTAACTCATTTTTGGAGGTGTATATAAAACACTTGTGATTTTTATATTATTCGTTCTTTTTTGACGCGGGATGCAAAAAGAAAGTCTGACCTCTTAGACAATGATTATGGATTCATCATTACTGCGAGTAGTTTACTAATGGCTCACCGTCATGGTATTTCAATGCTTTTTACATTAAATAAATAAAACAGTATGAGTAATTTAATATTAATTATTGAATTTATGTACTAATATATGAATGTCAAAATGTTTTAATTAAAATAAATTGAGAAATCAATGTAGGATCCAACTCTATCTCTCGACTTCGGTCTTTAGTTTGGTGGTGTGAAATTAGTTTACTTGGGTTTTTGTTATAACATTACTTAGTTAAGTTTCTACTTTGTTTAGCTTAAAATTATTTGCGATTAAATATATTCAAATAACCTTAAATACGAATAAATTAGTTCAATCGAAAAAAAGTTATGAAGTTTAGCAAATTTTAAATAATATAATTTGTATTAACATTTGTTTAGAAAATAAAAAGTCGAATAAGTCTTCTTATGCCTAATCAAAAACCACTAGGATTTAGTGATATTAGCATGAAGGTATGATTACAAATGCGTAGCGATGTTAAAAGCTTAATACTCATAATAAGAAGTGATAATAGATAATAGGCCATTTTATATCTTCAAAGGCTGTGTTTTCGGACCATGGTATTCAATTATAATGTCAATACTCCGTTTCAAGTCGATTAAATTTAAGTCTATAGGAGTTGTATCTAGTTCATCATATTCATTTTCAATTAGCCTATATAGATCAAAATATTATGTCACACATATTATCTTCAATTGATTAAGATAGTTCCACAATTCATATCAATGTGGGTCATGTGATTTTGGTTAGTATGTGTTCAAAATCAATAGTATAAGGTCAAATAATCAAATATAGATCCCATTCATCAATCTCATTATAGTATTCATATTTAATATTGCCCACCACATCTACAAAACATTCTTTAGATTGTCTTAACTCTTAAGGACACAAAACCAGGATTAGTGAACAGAATATGGGTCACATTCTCACATAACAGAAACCACGTGCATTGATATTCCTTTGTTTCTTTGTCCCTAGATTTCTTTTTATTCAATTTATTTTTCATAATTCCATACTCCTCCATATATTCGCTCTCCTTCAAACCAGGCTTCCGTTTGGATGAAGACGTTCAACTTTATAATACCTCAAGTGAGTCAAGTCTTAGACATCAAAGTCCGTACTTAAACATATTGTACGTCATTCAGGCTGACTGAGTAACCCAAAATAAGTAACCTCGATCACACGGTGTGACTAACTACACAGAAAAAACACTATATATAATCCTAATATACTCCGTGACAAATTATCCTTGATTTAGCAAAAATTCTTGGTATAATTAATTACCCTCGATTTAGTAAAATTCTTGGTATATTTGCTTCTGTAATCCTTTAATTAGTGGGTTTAATACTTCAATTTGTTCCATGCGAATAATCTTTACCATTCACATGACAAACTTCACAATTTCCAAAAATATTCATATTTAATATTTCCAAATCATTGATTTCAGTACAATACATTGATTAAAAGAATAAATGAATTAATTAACTAACACTAAAAAATTATTTCTAAGATGTAGCAGTGCATTCAGCAGGAAGACCTTCAGGAAACCTTGGAAGATCAGCACAATAATTATAAATCATATAATTCTTCTGGGCCCACCTCATTCTTTCCAAACTTGCTGAATCCAACTCTTGGGTCAACCATTCTGACCCGGATTTGGGTACTGAACCCGACCCGCATGATGATGACCCGGAAGCCCAAACACAAGCATCAGCTTTGAAGCCCCTGTAAGAAGCAGTAAATGGGGCTTGAGCCCAATCGGTCTTGACCCGGCCACCTTGGGTGGCCCAATCTTCAGCATTCCACAAACTAGAGTAGATCCTCATTGGTTGATTCTTAGGGAATGGGATTCCCTTAGATTCCATGTTCTTGTGTTCTCTAATAGGAGTTCCATCAACTAGGAAAACTATTCTTTGGGGATTCCAAAGAATGGAGTAAGTGTGGAAATCTTTAGTAGGGTCGAACCACAAGTGGAACTGTTTTTCGCGGTTACCTTTACCTTGTGCGAACACATTGGTATGAAGAGTGTAAGGTTGCCCACTTACGTTACCTAAAAACTCGAAATCTATCTCGTCGTGGGTAGGCCCCATCGACGATAGATAGTAAGCCGTGACAGTACCAGCAGAGTTACCAGGTACGAGTTTTAACTGCATATCGATTTTACCAAATAGGTACTCGTTTTTGGATTGAAAACCCGACCCGGAGGATTTGTCGAGGGAGAGGGTGAGGTCTTCCCCGTTGCCGAGGACTTTACCTCGACCATCTCCCCAAGTTATGGTAAACTCATTGTTAAAGTTGGCCTTAGAAGAGGCAATAAAAGCGGCTAAGAAAAGAGTAATGTAAACAAGTTTTGAGGTTGCCATTTTTTTTTTTGTTTGTGTCAATGTGTTTTTTTTTTTTGTGGGACAAATTTTTTATGATATTTGAAATGAGGATGATGAAATTGAGTAGGAGAAGATGGAGTTATATATAGGGGTGTTTGAAAGGAAAGTTGAAGTGAAGTGAGTAGGTTGTTGAGTGAGTGGAGAGTGAGCTGGTAGAAGTTGTTAGCTGGAATGTGATTGGAAAGGAGAAAAGGGATAGGGAAATGGTAAGAGATAGCTGGATTTTGGGGCACAAAGATGCAAGTGGAAAATCGTATCTAAAAAATATGGGGTCAATAAGGTTGCAACCAAGCCAAACCATATTTTTTATATTCTCGACAAAAATAATTGATTACGCGGATCTATGCATGGGAGAAGGCACTCGAGTTGATTAATTCTAGGGAGTGTTATCTTGATTTCATTATACTCCATATTATTTCAATTCGAAAATTTTACCCGAACTCGATCATGACTTGACCCGTTTGAACCCGAGAAATTGGTGACCTGAAACCGATATGATCCGACCTGAAATCAACCTGAGACCCGAGTAAACCTTAGAATTCGTGACCCGAACCCGAACAAGACCCGACCTGAGATGACCCGAACCCGAACATAACCCGTCAATTATTGACCTGAATCGAACCTGAGATTGACCTAAACTTGTTTTAACCCGTTGAAACTCGAAATCAACCCGACTTGTTACTAACCCGACTCGAATTCAACCCACCCTGTTACTAATCCGACTCAAATTCAACCCGATCTGTTTTTAACCCGACCCAATTAAACCTAATGTTACCCGACCCGAATAGTAATGCAATTAACTCAAATTGATCCGAACCGAGCTAACTCGACCCAAACAATCAAACAAACAACTACCCAAATTATAACTCCCATAAATTTTCACTTCACCCATTTTATTTTGTCAACCAAACAACCCCTTAGTAGAATTATATATGCAAATCCATAATGGTGTTCCTATATCATTCTTTTTAAATGTAATTCTTACTCCATAAGACATGTATCTAGTGTATCTACCACAAACATTCTACTAAGGTCTGGTCGAGTTTACCATAACTTGGGGAGATGGTCGAGGTAAAGTCCTCGGCAACGGGGAAGACCTCACCCTCTCCCTCGACAAATCCTCCGGGTCGGGTTTTCAATCCAAAAACGAGTACCTATTTGGTAAAATCGATATGCAGTTAAAACTCATATCTGGTAACTCTGCTGGTACTGTCACGGCTTACTATCTATCGTCGATGGGGCCTACCCACGACGAGATAGATTTCGAGTTTTTAGGTAACGTAAGTGGGCAACCTTACACTCTTCATACCAATGTGTTTGCACAAGGTAAAGGTAATCGCGAAAAACAGTTCCACTTGTGGTTCGATCCTACTAAAGATTTCCACACTTACTCCATTCTTTGGAATCCCCAAAGAATAGTTTTCCTAGTTGATGGAACTCCTATTAGAGAACACAAGAACATGGAATCTAAGGGAATCCCATTCCCTAAGAATCAACCAATGAGGATTTACTCTAGTTTGTGGAATGCTGAAGATTGGGCCACTCAAGGTGGGCGGGTCAAGACTGATTGGGCACAAGCCCCATTTACTGCTTCTTACAGGGGCTTCAAAGCTGATGCTTGTGTTTGGGCTTCCGGGTCATCTTCATGCGGGTCGGGTTCAGTACCCAAATCCGGGTCAGAATGGTTGACCCAAGAGTTGGATTCAGCAAGTTTGGAAAGAATGAGGTGGGCCCAGAAGAATTATATGGTTTATAATTATTGTGCTGATCTTCCAAGGTTTCCTGAAGGTCTTCCTGCTGAATGCACTGCTACATCTTAGAAATAATTTTTTAGTGTTAGTTAATTAATTCATTTATTCTTTTAATCAATGTATTGTACTGAAATCTATGATTTGGAAATATTAAAGATGAATATTTTTGGAAATTGTGAAGTTTGTCATGTGAATGGTAAAGATTATTCGTATGGAACAAATTGAAGTATTAAACCCAGTAGTTAAAGGATTACAGAAGCAAATATACCAAGAATTTTACTAAATCGAGGGTAATTAATTATACCAAGAATTTTTGCTAAATCAAGGATAATTTAGGATTATGTACGGTGCTTTTTCTGTGTGGTTGACCACACCATGTGGTCGGGGTTACTTATTATGGGGTTACTCAGTCGGTTAGCACGTTTTATATGTGAGAGTAACCCTTGATCGACCAAGTAATCCATGACCGATTGAATAACCCCTAAATAGGTAACTCCGACCACAAAGTATAACCAACATGTATGAAAATTTGTGTATTTGGAGTTGGAGGCTTCACATTGTGATATTGAGACATTTGATTCTTATTAGTTGCTCTAGTTGCGTTTGAGAATATTGATTCCTGCTAGTGATGCTAATGGCCTATTATTTCTTTGGTTGCATAAATCTAATAATATTTGACAAAAGCTTGTACACAGTTACAGATCTTAAGACTTGACTAAAATTAATCTATATTCTAGCATGTAAAAGCAAGCCAAATTATATATGAACAATTCTACTTGTGATACAATTACATACGTACTGTATGTAAGCATCCTCGAAAAATCGTATCATCTTCTCTGGAAGTTGAAGGCCTTGAGAGAATAGGCATAAACCACAGCAAACAGAACATTTATCCCTAGGATTACACCAGCAACAGGTCCCAAAAAGTCGCGCTTATAACCAAAATAGCTGTGCAAAAATTCCTTCACTGTAGGATTTCCAGGAACATCTTGGAGGCGGTCACCTATACCGTCGTAGTCACCAAATTGTGAGACTAACAATCCATACAAGCTCCACGCTATAGGGCATCCCCAGTAGTACCATCTCCACCATACTGGCATTCTCTGTAGGAAGGGAATTTTTGTAAGATAACACAAAAGTTTGATATAAAATGGACTTGATTTGAGAATAATCGCTAACATAACGTATGTACAGAAGTGAACTTACGGGTCTTGGGATAAGAAATCCGGAGAAAAGATTCCATACTCCGTAGAAGGCAGAGGAAATGATAGCAGACACGCTTGCATTTGGGGTTAGACCAACGCACATCATGCCGTAGTATGTGAAGTATAGCAAGGTGAAGAACATGAAGAAAATGTACCAAAAGAACTTGGCTAAAGTCCACTCAAATCCCATCATAGCATATACTATCACACCATAGAAGATTGTTTGGCAGAAAGTGTATGGGAGCTCAATGATAACCTGTATTACCCAGTTTCGAAACAAGATTAGCAGAGGTTTAGCATCATTAGTTAGTAGGAACTAATCACAAACCAAGAACAAAGAAACAAAATTTCTAGTTGTACCTGTGCAAAGGCATAAGGCAAAGCAGCATACATTCCTGCTGCTCTTTCTCGGTAAAAGACTGTCCTTTCGACAAACACAACCGGCTGAACTCCTGAAGAGTTCTGAATACCAAGAAAAAGAACGGCAGTATACATAGAACCCATTGCATTGAAAAGGCTTTGTTGAGTTTCCCTGTAATATTAGCAAATATTAGCAAAGTAGTAATTTATACTTGTCGATCTAAAATAGAACTGTAGCTTATTATTCAGGGAAAGAGAAATCATCAATTTAAGTACCTGTTACTCCCAATCTTCCAAAAAATGGATCCAAACATAACTCCCACAAATGATGCAAACAGGAGCCTCATTGCGGTGTACATGGTGTTTCGCCAATATGAACAATGTAGTTTCCACAAACAAGCCATAAACTGGGATATGAACGATTGTGAGTATTGAGTAGGGAAGTACAAGTCCTTTGATCCTGGTTCTGGTACACTAAGCTCTGTTATCAATGCCTTGCTTCTCCTGAAATATAAATTAAATTTTTAGCTGATTGAAAATTATAACATAATCAAAATTGTGCTATTCAGATACGTTACCTATAAATATCGGAATTCTTGTATATTTGAGCAAAGTCAACACCAAGTGCAGTTTCTTGAGCCATTGATGTTACCTCCAACATCCAAGTTGCTGGATTATAGCCCTCTTTGATCTTTTGAACACCATTGATCGCCTTTATTCAACGACAAATATGACTCGTTACTCATTAGATCAATATCACCAGAAAAGCAACTTGTGCCACATTATTTTGCAATTAGAGACAAGTCTTTAATTCCCTTACCTCAAAGTATTTGATAAGTTGGACACCATGGCGGCCTAATTGACCAAAATATATTTGCTGTCCACCTCGCTTGAGCAGTAGCAACTGCAAAAAATTTAATAGAAAATTTTGAGTCTCCTTGGTTTCTTAAACTGAATTGGAATTAACATATCGGTTCTTTTAGGATCAAACCTCGTCAAAAGCATCAAAAATATCAATGCTAGGCTGATGGATTGTGCAAACCACTGTTCGTCCTGTATTAACTGTGTTTCTGACAGTCCTCATTACAATGGCAGCAGCTCTAGCATCAAGCCCCGAAGTTGGCTCATCCATGAAGATTATAGATGGGTTGGCAACAAGCTCTACTGCAATTGTAAGCCTCTTTCTCTGCTCAGTTGAGAGACCATCTACTCCCGGAAGTCCTACAAGTGCATGCCTTAGCGTGTCTAGTTCTACAAGTTCCATGACCTCCTCGACAAACATCTGCAACATACATTCATCTTCAGGCATTTATATTTCAGTAACATTATTATCATAATTCATGTACTTAAGAATCCTCGATCTAACCTCAGAATATATCCACATATAATTTTCTATGTTAGGTTCCATTCTTTTCAACTTTAAAATAATTATATTTAGAAACAATCAGTTTTAATAGGTAAAAAACAGTAGCTTCAGAAACCAAAAATACTAGTGCATCAAAGCTATCAATATTAGTCATTTTAAATCATAAAAAATCAGTATTAATAGTAAAAATATTTTCAGTCTTGTAAAAATCATGTGAAGGGAACAAGGCCTAAGATTTTCCATATGACAAAAAAAAAAAAAAAGGTTACCTCTCTTTTTGATGCATCTACTTCAGAGGACAACCGAAGCCAGGCAGAAAATATCAAGGACTCATGAAGTGTGAGATGAGGAGAGTGAATATCAGCCTGCTCACAGTATCCAGAAACTCGGGCAAAGGTTTCTTGCTTCTTTGGGTA